GAACCTTCCTCCGCCAGCTCTTCTGTAATGGTTGAGAGATCGAATGGTTTCGGCTAAGATGGATGGTGCTGGGTTGACTCGCTTCGGGAGTTGTTCAAACAGCTCTACCACAGCAACATCAATGTAACCCAAAGTATTTGGGAATATAATCAGACCATACAGACCCAGTATAAACAGGTCTATTGCCTTCTACTCATCGGGATGGTTATTCATCAGTTGCTTGATATGAAGCTAAGAAATTCCCTCCTCATTGCCTTTACATCGAGCCCAGCCAGTTACCCATTTTTTGTCAACCCCGACAACTTTGGCTAGTGCATTCTTGAAAGGCTGGCTTTTAATGTGTTTAAGGTAGGCCCTCTCTAGTCTGATACTTTCACAGTGTAACAGTGTAGTGTATTCTTCAATGGTGGGCACCATGTCCTCCTGATTAAAAGTAAAGCAACTGTATCCCGGGTTCCATAATTGAACCAAGGCTCTGATTAAGGGCTCATCGGTCTTGATATAAAGCAAAAGTGCAATGTCACCGTACCGTTGGCTGAACTTCTGTTTCTGATCATTCTTCCAACTGTCCCAGATGTCTCGAAGCTCTTGCACGTCATTCTGTTTTAAGCTGATAGAGGCATAGCTGACCATCTCTGACACATAGCTTCTTTTAAGATTGTCTTCATTTTCCTTCTGAGTCTTCTCGGACCATAGTCGTACCTCAGGGTTTTTAATCTCTTGTATTACAACACCTTTGTCCATTTGTTCAGATTATTTTGTGTGTAATAAACGCTTTTTAAGGATCAATGACCTTGTGTTATGATGTAAATGCTAAAAAACAAACACAAGCAAAAAGTTAGTACAATAAAAATAAATAAATAAATATAAAATGACAAAAGGGAAAGAAACAAAAAAGAAACATGGTTAGGGTAAAAATATCCTAGGTTTTGGAATGTGGTTTCGGGATAGGCTTTAATTCTCCAAAGTCTCCCAGTTTAGGTTCTAAAAAGAGGTACTCGAGTTCTCCTTGCTGGCGCCCCCTTGGGCTTACCAGACCCTTAGTCCTAAACCCATCACAGGCTTGTGTGGACTAAGTTAAACTCGAGAGGACACATTCCCTTATGTCTATGCGGAGAATAAATTCACACGAAGACATAAGGTATATGAATCCCGAAGGCTACTTGCTAGGCATATGCGGTGAATAAATTCACATGAATGCGTCGCTTTCACCCCCACTTAAAAAACGGGTTCGGAGCTCGGGTTTAGAGCCTTAAGTGAAAAAAACTTTGAAGGCTGAAATCGTGAGAAAACGATTAGTACAACTATTTACTCGAAAAATAATCAAAAGTAAGTAAAAAGGATCGAAATATTACCTAAAAATTTAAACTTACCCTTTTCGTTAAAAAAACAACTGGAAATTACCTTAGCCTGACTAACTATCCTGTGTCCCCAACGGAGTCGCCAAGCTGTCGGAACCGTCTTTCGGTTGGACCCGGAATTGGGCTTTGACTTGGACTAAATGAATTGGAGTCGTCACCGATCATTTATTTTAAAGAAAATTGGTTGACCGGATACCTTATTTCTTACATGACCTGCATCTTACCAGTGATGTGTCAGATTCGGGAGTCGGTTACAGTCAAGGAAGGGTTAGCACCCTTGAAATGCCCTTTTCGGTACTATGTAATTTCCAGTTGTCTTTAGTTAAGAAAAATGTAACTTTAAATTAAAAGGTAAAATGACAATCCAAATTTCTTATTTCTAATTGATTGAAAACGTACCCTTTAAAAGTAAAAAAATGTGTTAAGAAGAAAAAACGAAAATAAATAATGAAGAAAATACAAAAACGAATGGAATAAAGGAAGTAATATAAAATAAAGAAAATACATGAAATAAAAAAGTAAAGGTAAAAATGAATATAACCAATGTGTGAAGAATATATATAATATGTGATAATGTAAAAAAATATTACATAGAAAAAATATATATAAACAATAAAAATAATAAAATAAATATATACGTACGAACTAAATAAATAAAAGTGAAAAAAGTAAAAATCGGTAAAAAGATAGATATAGAGAAAATAAAATAATAAAAAATATATAAACATACATATTAATATGGAATGAAATAAATAAATTAAGGAAGAAAAATATATATATAAAAAATAAATAAAAAATATATACATAAAATGATGGTAATAATAATAAAAAGGGAAAAAATGGGAAATAATATATATATATATACATACGTTAATAGTAAAAATAAATGATAATAGTAATAGCTAAAAAATATATACATATATATAATAAAAAATAAAATCGTATGCTAAAATATATATATATATATATATATATATAAGGGAATAAAATATAATAATGAAAATATGATATATAATAATAACAAGGATTAAATTAAAACAGAAGCAAAGTTAAGGGGTAAATTAAAAAAGGAATCAAATTCCTTTTGGGGCAAAATTGAACACTTTAAAAACAACGGGACCGAAACAGGATTTATCCATTTTAGAGGTAAAAACACGCGGATCCTCATCTGGTGCGGGTCGGGTCCTGGATCGGCCATGGGCCGAGTATATAAGCTACTTTTCATAAACAAGTTTCATAATTCTCACCTCCCCTCTCTAGGATCAAAACGCCAACCATTGTTTTCTCTGAAATGTTCTTAGGCTGTTCTTCATCTTGAAGAACAGCCACCGTACGAAACCCAGATCACGGTGGCCACCGCCTCGCCGACCGTCCTATATCGACGCCGGCCACCGCTAATCGGCGGTGGTCCACCAAAAAAATATTTTTTTAGCCCTTTTCACCCACAACTCAAAAATCGTGTTTGTTTTTTGAAAAATGGCCTCAAGAGGGGTAGATCTGGAGTTGATCGTTTCGAAAACCCCCTCTCCGGGTCCTCGGCCAAACGTTCTTTGGGTTATTGTGCAACCAGATAATGAAAGCAAATTCAACCGAGACCACACACATGCAAGGAAACCAAAAAAAGGTCAGAACTTTTTACCTTTCCTTTCGAAATATTACAAGAATAATGCTTGGGTTGCTTCGAATATTTGTATTTTTACTCGTATATTCCTAGTATTTCCGCTAAAAAAATTGCATATGCTTTGTATATATCAATCGTGACCATTACAGTAAGGATTACATGCTATTTATAATATTCAAGCCATCCTATTTTTGGGTATTTGATTCCTAGTTAAAAACTAACATTTACTATTGGTTTGCTGTTGAACCGCGATGATCAGTTGTGGGTTGTTACTGAAGGATCTTCGTGCTCTTCTTGTGCCGAAAGAATCAGGGTGGTGACGTGCAGCGTGGGGGAACCTGGGTTGCTTGGAGATGCGGCGCTGGTGAGAGAGAAGCTGCTAGGGTTTGGCTTGGAACGGGCCAGCTTGGACCTTGTTTGGGCCGCTGTTGAGCCATTTTATTTGATTTTGGGGCCTATAAAAATGTAAATAAAGTTAATAATATAATTATACACTATGGTTTGTAATATTACATAATAATATAATAATATTAATAACAAAAGACGAAATCGAGTGTCTTCAGTAATAAAAGGAATGTAAAAGAATTTACTTGTATATTAACATAACGCATTCATTTTTGTGTTTTTTTTGGGGGACTATAAACCAAAACATAAAAATAAAACAATGAGACAAAGCATACTGAATTATTGGTGAAACTTTCTTGTTGTTGATTGGCAAAATTTCACAAGTTTTTAAAAGAACTTAACTGCGACTTGAACTTGCCCAGTAGTCCTGCCACTATCTTTCGTGAGATACCAACTTAGGAAACATGTCTTACTAAGAGCATTTGCTAATCACTAATATACCGTCTCATTGAGATTTTAAAACGTTGACATTGAGAAAGCCATTCACACATTACTTCCAGTTTGTTCATGTCATTATTTGCTTTCACTGTCGACTTGTTCAGATTACACAACTAAGTTGTACTGGCAGTGGAACAACTAGGTAATAGATCAAGCCATCTCTTTTCGAATACTATAGTTAATGAAAGTGGAAGGCTTGACACGGCATAACGTTGCTAGTTATCTCCAGGTCGGTATCAGTTTTCCTTTTGTGACAAACGCACCAACTGATTCTATAATTCAAGTGCCTTTCATTCAATGTGTAATGCACTGCTTGTTCATGTTCAAAATTAATTTCTCGATACATTTTTGGTTCAAAATTATTGTTTCGTTAGTTATTCTAGCCAAGCACAGTGAATGTACGTAGACACAAGATATTACCCTTTTCACCAATGAATAGGAGTGCTCAATTTTCGGTTTTAGTCGAATTAATCGATTAAACTGAATTAGTTCTGTTAATTCGGTCTGTCACCAAATTAGTTCGGTCGGAAAACGGTTAATAAATTTTTTAGATATCGGTTAATTCGGTTCGAAATCGATTAATTAACTGAATTAACCGAAATTAAATTTTAAATATATTATATATAACATATAGGCTCAACCCAAACCATATAAAACTCAATTAATAATTTAAGATCCAATAACTTTTAAACATAAATCAATATTAATTAATTAAAAATCCATATAAAATTTTTATTTTATATTTTTATATTATTTAAATTAATTGTAAATTATTTTTTTGAATTAAAAAATATTCAATTTTTATATAAATTATAAAATTTTAAAAAATTTTGGTTAATTCAAAAATTAACCAAAATTTATTCGGTTCAATTAATATTTTCAACAAAAATCGATTCAATTAACGGTTAAAGAAAAAAAATTATATTAATTCAATTAATAGTAATTTAATTTGATAAAACACCGTTTTAACCGAATAAACACTCCTACCGATGAATAAACTTTTAGCCGAAAATGATTCGTCTTTGTTTCCACCACATAATTCGAATCATGTTGTGCTGGTTGGTCCACCCTATCCCATCTGGGGACCACCTCATCATCCATCCATCCACACATTAATGATTTTATATTAAAAACAATAATTTGATGATTAAAATAATATAGATGACGTGGTATTATTTAGCTGCTGATGCTCATTCTTCGTCTGTAAACTGCAAAAGTTCCCTAAGCTCCTCCTCTGAGAATATTTCCAATGCTTCGTCTTCATTTTCTTTACTACTCTGTCCTTTTCCTCCATTGCTCTTCTCTTTCTCTTTATGCTCTTCACTTTCTTTCTGATCATTTTCTTCTTCTTCTTCTTGCACCATTGTGTAATCTGATAATGGGAAATTGATCTTTGCTTTATTTCCACGGAACTGAATAGCCGCCCTATCATAAGCCCTGGCAGCAGCTTCCGCCGTGTCGAACGTCCCCAGCCAAACCCGAACCGCTAGTTTCGGGTTTCGAATCTCCGCCGCCCATTTCCCCCATGGCCTCTGTCGTACTCCCCTGTAACGCCTCCTCTGTGGCGCCATTGGGACTCTTTGCTGGTTGTTGCTTGGCGGAAAAATACCGTTGATTCCCATTGGAGGACACGCACTGTTAAAACTAGAAAGGCCATTGGTGGAATCAAACACTGAGGTGGAAGTATCAAGTTCAGTACCGTTGATAACATGCAGGAGGGTGGAGACTATGATGTCATGCTCCTTTTCACGACTCAAAGGCAAGGCTCTATTGTAATTTTCCATGTCGTTAAGTTAATAGTTTTGACTACTTTAGATTCGCAAAATTGCAATGATTTTGTCTTTCTGTTCTTCTGCAAAGAGCAGGAAGTGAGTTGGTTTCGAGTATATATATATTATGGAGTCGGAACTGACGGCTGTTAGCTGTCCTTGTTTTGAAGAAGTCCAACTGATGCCACGTGCATAAAAAATAAACAGACAGATTACCTATTGTATTGCGTCACCTCCCACGCCGTTTTGCAAACATAAATTTGTCACTGGAGACAAATAAAAATCTGGACGCGTGAAAATTCAGTTGCCAGTCTTATGGGTTTTTGACATTCTATTTTGGAAGTAAAAGGTGTTATGTTTTAGTTCACATCAGATTCAGACGTAGAATTGTACGCGTTGACATGTAGCAGTGGAAAAGCTGTGCTTTTATAGTTCACATGGAACTGCTGGATGCCCGCCTCCAACCGTCCATGGCTTTGCCTTAAAGCAATCACACCTCGGCTTTCTCCTTTTTAGATTTTATGAGTTGTATATTTCACCCGTCGATCCAACTAGGATGTTACCACGTACATAATATTTTAAGTTGTAATTAAGTATTGATATTTTTAATTAAGTATCGATATTTGTCGTAAAATAAGTGATGGATCACATTTAATATTTTAAGTTACAACCTCATAAATATAGTCGTGAAATATAATTATTTTGAAACACTTAAACACAAAAATCTCATAATTTTCTTTCTTAATCACCCGAAACCTCATAAATGACATATGAATTCTAAGTTAGACTCTAACTATAGCTAAAAGAATTATATTTCTTACCAGTTGATTAAGATATTTTGATTACTTCTTAGATTTGATGAATTGTATATTTCACCTGTTAATCCAACTAGGGATGGTAACAAGCGAACTCTCAAGGTAGCAAGAGAGTCATCTTCTCGTACGGTGCAAAACCAGCAACTTCCCTGATCAAGTTCCTCACAAAGTGGACTCTCTTGCTCGTTTTCTGAAAATAACAAAGAAATAAATACTTTAACTTCCACTAAGAAGCAATTAACTAAAACCCAGGCTGATGATACAAGACCTTCGAAATAATAAATTACAAGGAATAACTAAATATCTAATATTGGCTATTTTAAGGTAGTGCTTCTTTTTCCCATTTTTCTCTCCTTTCTTTCAACAAAAGAATATTATTCTACGAAAAATACTTAATTAGGCATAGAATACACTTACTCCTTTTCTAATAGATGGACGTGGAGCCAACTCCTCCTTGGTTACAACATGGCCCTTGTTCAGTCCTACAAAGAGGCCTGTATTTGGCTGCTTGGTAGCCGTGTCTGTTTAAGTATCAACAAATCACATATATAAATACAACAAAAAGCGGATTGGCATAGTGGGAATCATCCTTTTTAATCCATTACTAATGAAACCAGAATTACAATTACTACTAAAATATCCATATAGTTCACTCAAGAAACATTGACATTGCCAAGCTCAAAAATGTTATTTTCACTATCAAAATACAGGGAATGACTATTTCTGAGTACCATCACTAATTAAAATGGTGTCATTAGAAATGAAATTCTGAATGTCCTTGAAGCCAACTAAAGGACCAATCATACTTAAATAAGAAGAATGTCTCAACAATCCTTCAAATCCAATAACCAATCATTCAGATTTAAGTTCGTGCTTTGAACAGGTGTACTTATACTTAGAACTCAAACCCTTTTAACTTTTAAGTTACAGATCTTCATAAACCTCTAAAATTTCACAAAATTTACAAGCATCAGCAGTTAATCAAAGAAAAAAAGACGGTGCATACTAATCTCCAAATATCACAAAACCAAGATCTGTAATTGCATAACGCGAAAGTTTTACTGCTAAGCATTGTGTTTAAGCTGATCCAAATATCTCATAGTTTTCTTTCTTGGCTATTTATTGAAGTTCTAATTTTAATTCATTATTTTCTTTTCACAATGTTAAGCATGATTCAATCCATGCTTGGCTAAACTCCAATTAGTCGAAAGCTGAGCAACAACTCATTCTGTTTCGTGAGAATTGAAAAACACTTCATACCTTCAGGTATCTTTCTTGATTTTCTGCAAACTATGATTGGCAATCGGCATTTCCTTTAAATATCTTAACACTTTCAATTCAAAGAGTGCACTTTGGTTTGAATGTTGTTTTGATTTATCGTTGGGGAGAAGAATCAACTTGTAACAAATTCAACTTCTTAAGAACAAACTTAGTGGCGGTTTGCTTCATAAAATTAATTAAATCCTGTAATTACAATCCCATTTCTCTTGGTATTGAAATTCAATTTGCTTCATAATCCCAATTGCTCTCAATCTGAAATTCCAGTTCTTAACAAACCTAAGTTCAGTTTCCGCCTTAGGTTTACATTCGGCTATAGCTTCATGTTGATCCCAAATTCCAATTTTTAAATACCATACTGAAATAATTCTTCCGAACCATTATTTCACGAATTTTTTTTCCCAATACCATTATCTAAAATAATTTGCCCACACAAAGGTAAGTTCTCATCAATTAATTGCAGTTTTATTCATTTAATCTGAACACACACTCACAGAGGTAAGTTCCCACCAATTAATTGCAGTTTTATTCATTTAATCCGATTTTACGGTATCCAGTTCTACTCGATTCGTTCGTCCTACTGATTTTACATTTATCTTTTTCGATATATTTAAAAATTTTTCATTTATTTGTTTTTGATCGATTCTTAATATAAGAAGTATTTTATTATTTAAGTTTCTTTGTTAGAAATGTTGCTTGGTTCTGGGATTCGATTTGGCCAATGAGAAATTGAAGGAAGATGAATAAAAAGGAACTTTAACTTTAAATTTTAACTATAATCTGAACCATTTCTAACCATTCAAGTTCAATGATCTGTCACTTAGCTTTTTTAATTTAGTTAGGCGAGGCAGAATTTAACTATCTATTCTGAACACAACTTTGGTTTTGTGATTTTACAATGACGTGATTAATATATATTGGTAGATTGTACGAAGATTAACAGTGTGTTTTAAATAATCAAAAAAGTGGTTGAGAGAATGAAGCCTGACATGTCTAACTAATTTTCAAGTTTCTAGATAATTTTCTGGAGTGGTTGAGACTGGAAATCTCGTCTTTTGTTTTAATCATATTTTGTTTACTTATTTATTTTATTTTCTCCCAATAATTAAATCTCTTTCTTGCTTTATATCAGCTGCACGATCATTATAAGCAACTCGATTTGCTTATTTTAAAATTAATGTTTCCTATATGATTTGAATGTTCCGTTTAATAACGAGAGAGAAATTATTGATAACACTTTGGTTAAACTGCCACCTGTGTTTCAATAAGAAGGGCTCTGTTGCATGAAAGAAGTGTTATCACTAATAACCATCTTTATTTTCTTGAGTTAATTGTAGAACATAGAACTATTTCAGAGTTGATGGGCCATTGGTAATCCTTGATAAAGTGAAGGCAAGTTCTGTTTCTCTCACTCATTATCTAGTAACCTATGTTGCTTTGAATCTTCACTTCGTGAAGTATCTGGGTTTGATACCTGTATCCAAAGCATATCTAGACATAGGAATGTTGATATGACCCTTTCAGAACCCTTAAAGTTCATGGGAAATTTAGAAAAATAAACATACTCATGTCGAATACATACTTGTATCATACACTTACATCCGAGTCCAAGAAACATAGCTGGTACTGTTGTCAATCTTTTATAGTTTTGATTTCAACTTTTCTTCATTTGGGGGTTCATGCTTTTTACAGGGCCCTAAGTTTCAAGAAATAATTAATATTTGTTTAGGGGATGAAACAACTAGACGTGGTCAAGTCCTAGAAGTTGATGGGGAAAAGGTTGTTGTTTAGGTAATTTCCTTCTTAGTTTCTTTAGCATTCCTTTATAACTATGAATTCCTGTTATGTGTTCATGCCAAAAGGAATAATGTCAACTTCTTCACCATGAAATATTTGAGGCTTATATTATGGTGCAAGGTTTGATGCAGTGATTTCATTAATAGAGGATTTGTTTCTTCATAATATACTCTACTTACGGGGCACTTTGGTTAGGTATTTGAAGGAACTTATGGAATCGACAACAAGTATACAATTGTGCAATTTACAGGAGAGATATGTAACCTCATGTTTTTCCTATAACTAAGACAATCCTTATCTTGCATCAGTGGCATGCAAAATAGCTTAAACATTACAACAGATGTTGATACATTTTAGATGTTGACTTGTTTTTAAAATCTTGAGTTATCTGGTTCTGTAATAAATTAGAGGGGAAACGAATCTTGTTCTTACTAGTCCATGGACACACATTACTTTGTGCAGTAAACTAAGGTTTTAGATAGGCATGATTCCGGTTGATTTGGTTGTTATTATTTTAGAAGTTTTCTTCCTAAATACGTCTGATCTTATCCATTTGTGGTCTCAACAAATTAATGTTTTGTTTTTGCCATCTTCTTTGGCTGATAAATCTCAGATTTGGCAATAGCTTCAGCACTACTCTCAGTTCCCAGACTTCAACAACTATCTCGTTTTCATCCTAGCACGAGCCGAGGTTTTCTATCTCCGTTTATCTCTGTTTGCTATCTCCGTTTACCTTTTCCATGAGTCCTTGTTTAAACTGGTATCACATGGTTGATCAGGTTTTTTTTGCTTTATAAAATATACATGAGCTTGTTTTGTCACTTACATTATTCCAGGCAGTGGCTAATTCTACATCAGCGACTTTCTTACATGTTGTTGGAAGTGAATTAATTCAGAAGTACTTGGGAGATGACCCAAAATTAGTTAGGGAACTCTTCAGAGTTGCTGATGATATTTCCCCTTCAATTGTCTTCATTGATGAAATTGATGCAGTTTTTACTAAGAGGTAAGTTAGTGAAACTGTCAGACCTTGGTAGAAATACATTTCGAATATTTCTCATTAATATTGCACCATGTACAAGTTACTGATTTTGTGAATGTTATTTAAATTTATGGTTGTAACGTTTGGAATTGCTTCTGTTAAAGAAGA